GAGTAGCCTGGGGCAAGCGTGGAGGCAGAAGGGAGAAGGTGAGGGTGGAGCAGCTTGGTGGGGGGCTCAGGAAGGCCTCAGCGTCTGGATATATTTTGTGGGAAGAACTGACAGGCCTGCTTATGCCAAGAATGAGGTCAAGGTTTAGTTCTGGGCATCTGTAAGGATGGAGTTACTTTCAACTGCGATGGAATGGGCTTGGTGGTGGCAGGCTTGGAAGGAATGAAGAGTACTGTGCATGAGCCAAAACGACGAGAGAGGGAAAAGTGAATATCCCCGAAGGCTTTCTTTCCCCGAGACCCACGCCAGGTTCACCAGAAGCACCTTAATTACGTGGGGACGGCGCCGGGGCTTCCCTCGGCAGAGAAGGTGGCGGTTCCTTTAAGAGGACGCCTGGAAGCCCCGCCCACGGAAAGCCACGTGTCCTCCGCGGCCCCGCCCAGGGGTGGGCGTCCGCGTGGTTTGAAAGTCAGGCGCGCTCTGCGTGAGCGGCGGTCTGTCGGCGACGAGGATGTCAGTGTTGAGGCCGCTGGACCAGCTGCCGGGCCTGAACACGGCCACCGTCTTGGTAGGTCGTCCCCCTGCCCGCCCGCTCGTCCACCAGCCTTGCTTCTGCGCCCTCCTCGGAGGGCTCCGCGCAGTTTCCGTCGCGGCCGCGGCGCCTTGGGCAGAGGGCGGGAGAGCCACGTGCTGAACCAATCGGAGTAGCCGCTGCGTGACGCGGTCAGACCACTTCACCAATCGGCTCTGTTCAAGCTTCTGATTGGTGGGGTGGGCGGGCGACGCCCAACGGCGGGGGCTGGAGTGGCTTTTTTAGTCCGACCGCCCGGAGAGACCGGGCGGAAGGAGGGCGAGCGGGGCAGGAGTTAGCGTTGGGAACCCGCTACCATCCAGAGGGTGGTCCGCCACGCGCTTCACCCCGTGCCACCTCGGGGATGCCGGCTCGGTAAATGGCGCCCTCCGAGGCGGGGCTGGAAACCAGGAGTCAGGGCCGAAGTGGGTTCGGGTGTCGCCGGGCCGCAGGAGGGGCCGGAGGTGACTCACGGCTGTGCCCGGCATCGGTCTGTCCCCTTCTCTGTCTCTGGGCAGCTGGTGAGCACCGAGGATGCCCTTCTGCAGCAGCTGGCGGACTCCATGCTCCGAGAGGATTGCCCCTCCCAGCTGATGATGTAAGTGGCTGAGGGGGGCGGGGAGTAGCCCTCTGCCCGTCTGGCACCTAACTCAGGCTTGGGGAGGCCGCAGGTGGGTGTGATCGCCGGCCCCACTTCCCAGTCGCTGGTCTCCAGGGTCTACCATTGTAGCACGAATCGGAATGACCTCGGTTCATGAACTACAATTCCCTTCTTCATTCAGCTGTGGCTGGACATTGAGCGGTTTCCACTTTCTGGTCCACTTTGCCCAGAGTTTACCAGAGCCTGGTCTCCCAGCATGTGGTGCAGCTGACAGGCCTTCCCACATCCAGACTTCGCCCCCAAGTCCCCTGACAGTTAGTAACCATTCCTTTTTTGCCAATTCTCCCTGGGTCCCAGGCTGCCACCTCCAGTTTCACATCATTCATCAGCTAGAGAAAACCAAAAGCCAGACTCACTTCCGAAGGTTGGCAGTTCAAAACCACCAGCTGCCCCACGGGAGAAAGATGGGGCTTTCTACTCCTGTAAACATTCTTGGAAACCCACAGGGGCAGTTCTACCCTGTCTTGTAGGGTTGCCATGAGTCGGCACAGATCCTAAGGCAGGGCGGGAAGGAGGACAGCTAGAACTGCTCTTCCGGGCTTCCGAGACTGTCTTTCTTTTTTTTTTTCCGGGGCTGCCTGTCTTTGCCAGATCAAGTGGGAAGCAGTCTTTAACTGGCCTCGGTGAGAGCCCGGATGTCCTGTCCTTCCGGCCCCTCTTAGCTCCCATGGGTGTGAGAGCAACCTGGGAGGTAACTGTTGGTTTGAGGAGCTCTTAGGCCTGGTCAGAGCAGGGACTGGTGTGCAGGAAGGTTCCAGTCCCACCCTCCTCTGTGCTCGCCCGAGGCTCACCCACCAGGGCATCTGTCCATCAACGGGTGACAAACCCCTGGCAGCCTCCTTAAGAGGCACAATACAGGAACAGTCCCTGTGCAGTAACTGCAGGCCTGGAATTTCTTGGTGTAATTTGTTTTGTTTTGTTTTCAGCCACTTGGCAAGGTCTCTCCCCCTGCCCTCCAATGTGACTCGGCCCCGAATTGACCTGGTCGTGTTCGTGGTCAACCTTCACAACAAGTACAGGTGAGAGCCGGAGGACTGGCTGGTCGTGCTCAGGGGGCCGGGACACCGACCTCGCTGACCTGGGAGGAGAGGAAGCAGAGAGAGGCTTTGCCTGGGGGCAGCCCAGAGGGTGAGGCAGGAGGGGCCAGCAGGCAGCGAGCGTGTAAGTTGTAGTTGAGTGCAGTAGTGACCCTGCACACAGCAGAACCAAACGCTGCCTGGCCCTGCCTATGCTTGATCCCATTGTGACAGCCACCATGTCATCGTCTTGCCAAGGGTCTTCCTCTCTTTCACTGTCCCTCCACTTTACCACATGTGATGTCCTCCTCCACGGACTGGTCTCTCCTGTGTGGAAGAGAGGCTGGTCCATCCGTGACGGCTTCCGTTTCTTTGGCGGGTGGGCGGGTACTCTCTGAAGCCTGCTGTGTACACAAGCAGACCCCTAAGAGGCCAGGCTTCTGGACAGTGGCAGCCCTGGGATCCGGCCTGTAGAGGAAGGTGGCACTGAGCTAGGCGGTGCCTGGGCCCCGGCTTGGCCTCCTTGAGATAGAGTAGCAGCCAACTGTGGACCTGAACTCAAAATCATTAAAGAGACCAGCTCACCAGTTGACTAGAGATTGGTGGGGGCCCCTAGACTATGGCCCTTTCTCTTCAGTTCCGGAACGGAACTTAACCTCTGCAGTGAATTTCCGGTTTTCAAACAGCAGCATGACCCAGAGACCGATGGTCAGGGAAGGATGAGGCACAGGGAGGGAGTGGGGTGAATGAAGTCCTCGGAGCCTGATGGCTGAGCTGACTCGGAATGTGTGAACTGTGGACGTAACCCTCTGGTCTCCACAAACCTTCACCTCATTCACATTAACTGTGTTTTAAAGATAGACCATTGTCTTTGGGGACTGTGTTCTGTCGATTGACCTAGGGGCCCCCAGAGACTATGGTCCTGCAACCCCAAGCCCAGCCATTTGGTCCCTCAAGGAAAAAAACCCAACTCTACCCCTCTGCCCCCATCTCTGCTTGTGTATGAAGACTGTTCTAGAAGTTCCGAGTAGTGGGTTACATGTCAGAGGAAACCAGCCTCCACTAGCAATAATATAAGAAGATGGTAGTGAAGTCGTAGAGGATAAGAAAGGTGGGAGAGAGTAGAATAAAGGAGTCAGACACATAGCATGCTCACCTCAGCTCCTCTTGATGGACCACGTGGGACTGGGAGAAGTGAGAGCGAGCCTTTACTATCTTGGGACTTTGAATAGGTCGCCTTAAGACATGCATATTCAGTAGTTACATGCGTCACAGGGTGGGTGGTATCTACATTAAGGTCCCTGAGCTCATAAGTGAAGAAACCTAACATGGTACCTGCATTGGGGAAAGGTAGGAGGAGGGGGCTTGGGTGACATGGGGCGGGAGGAGATAGCAAAAGGATGTCTGCTTCTACAGGGAAATAAAGTCAGCCATGCGCTCACTGTAAGGCAGCATAGGTGTTTGGGGAGAATCTGTGGGAATGATATTTAAAGCAGGATAATGTACTTGGACTTTAATTCTAACTTACCAAGTGGCGGCTTTCCTACCGTGTAATACCAGCTTTCCAGATTCCCTCTGTGATAAGTTAGGGAACATAGTCCTTGTCTTAGTTCCCTGAGTGTTTGTTTCCCACAATCCCCTTTGGAAGCTAGACGCAAAGGGTGGTGCTGAGAGAGGGGACTTGGACTTGTTACTGCCCATCCCGACTTGCCGTTGGATCTTTGGCGAGCCTGGATCACGCTGTATGAACAGTTCTTATTACTGAGAGGACCAGGCATCACTCCCGGCCTTAGTCAGCGGTGGCGTCTGCTTCCTGTGGTGTAAAGTTTCCTCCTCTCGTTGGTTCTCTCACCCGGGCCTGGCCCCCAGCCTCCAGAATGTTCAGGAGTCCCTGTGCCATGTGGACGCCAACTTCTTCCTGGGGAAGGTGTGCTTCCTGGCCACTGGTGGTAAGTGCTCCCCTCCCCTGCCACTGCCCACCTCCCCTCCACACCCTAGCCCTGGGTGGTTCCGCTCTCCTGTTCTTTGGAGGGGTCTAGTGCACCCCCTGTGGCTTTCAAAGTGAAATCCTTCATGCCATCCAGTCAGTTCTGACTCTCACAGCCACCCAACAGGACAGTGTGGAACTGCCCCCGTGCATGTCTGAGACTAGAACGCTTTATGGGAGCATTAAGCCTCATCTTTCTCCCTCCCGCCGAGCAACTGGCTGTTTTGAACTGCTGACCTTGCAATTAACAGCCCAGTGCATAACCCATGTATCACCAGGGCTCCTTGAGTGAAATCCCTAACTCCTTTAAAGGCACAAACGACCTTCTTCCTGTCTAGCCTCTCCACCACACTTGCCCATTCTGCTGGTCACCGTATGGGCCTGCCACACTCCCTGCTAGTCCTGAGACACTGAAACAAGAATAGCTTTTACTGGGAGTCCCAGGGTGGCAGGGTGGCCCAGTGCTGGACTTCACAAAGATTGAAGGTTCCAGTGCAGTTTAAAGTTCCTCAGAAGAAAGGCCTGGTGACCTGCTTCCAAAGTGTCAGCCGTTGGGAACCTTCCGGAGCACCGTTCTGCTCGGACACACGTCGGGTGGCTGTGAGTCGGATCCCTGGATGCAGCGGGGTGTTTTGTGTTTGAACCTTTACTGAGCACTCGCTTTTAGCGCTGGGGACACTGAGGTACCAGGTCATGCCACATGCCCAGGATCCCGTAGTTAACGCGGTAGATGCCTCCCCAATGGTGCACTTTGCTCTTGTCTGTCTGACTCTACAGCCACGGTCGTCACCTTCCTCAGGCCGCAACTCTTGCATACAGTTCCTCGTGTGGTGGTGACCCCCCCAACCATAAAATTATTTTCGTTGCTACTTCATCACTGTCGTTTTGCTACTGTTATGAATCAGCATGTAAATATCTGGTATGCAGGATGTATTTTCATTGTTACAAATTGAACCTAATTAAAGCATAGTGATTCATCACAAAACAATATGTAATTGTATATTGTGAAATATTTATTTCTAATGACAAATAAATTAAATTTTGTCTTGAAGCATGGTGTACCATGGGTAACAGTCTTCATGCCGGGTACTTATAGGTGGGTGTATCTGCATGTGAGCGACCTGCCTGGAGATGGATAGAGGAGTGGTGTCTCGGTTCCTAAGACCATCGGAAATATGTGTTTTCTGATGGTCTTAGGCGACCCCTGTGAAAGGGTCGTTTGAACCCCAAAGGGGTCACGACCTACAGGTTGAGAACCACTGCTCTACAGTGACCTCAGCTTCATTGTCATCTGCTGGGGACAGCCACCTGTCAGATCGCTCCCAGGGGACGGTTGGGGCAGGGAGAGGGACCTGGGACAGCTCCCGTGGGCCGAGGGGAACAGGGATGCCAGGAATACCCTCTCTGAAGACACTGGTTCCTTCTAGTCCCTCGGGGTTGGGGGGGACCGGTCCCCACATTTTTAGATCAGGGGTCCCTTGTGATCTTGGAGCACTTTCTCCAAGTGATCGCCATCTGCCCCCAAAAGAATGTCGAACGGCCACACCAACATGTGTGATCATGTAGTGGGAAGGAGATGAGTCACTTAGGGTTCAGTATAACAATAATGAAACCCACAACCTTCCTCTAGTTCTTAAACGCTTCCTCCCCCCAACTACCATGACCTCAACTCTACCTTGCAAACCTGGTTAGACCAGAGGATGCACAGCGGTACAGATGGGAACTGGAAACGCGGGGACTCTAGGACAGATGAACTCCTCAGGACCAGTGGTGACAGTGGCGATACCGGGAGGGAAGGGGGGTAGAAAGGGGGAATCGATCACAAGGATCTACATAATAACCTCTCTGGGGGATGGGCAACAGAAGGGTGGGTGAAGGGAGATGCCGGGCAGTGTAAGATAAGATATAATAATAATTTATAAATTATTAAGGGTCCATGAGGGAGAGGGAGGGGGGAAAAGGAAAATGAGCTAATTCCAGGAACCCAAGAGGAAAGCGAATTTTGAGAACAATAAGGGCAACAAATGTATAAATGTGCTTTACACAATTGATGTATGTATTGTGATGAATTGTATGAGCCCCAATAAAATAATTAAAAAATCATATGGGTGGGAAAGACTGAGGCTGTGGGGTGGGTGTTGGGGGCGGTGTGGCTTGTAACACTCCCTCCCACCCCCACCCCGTGCAGCCAGCCAGGAGAACCAGTGCAGCATCCACCACAACACCATCCTGAAGCTGGCCCACGCCTACCGCAGCCCCCTGCTCTTCTGTGACCTGACGGTAAGGGGCGCAATGGGCAGCTGGGGGGTGTGGGCTGAAGAAGAGGCGCTGCATGAGGCGGCTCAGGCTGGTTTGAATTCTGGGTGCGCCCCTAGGAAGTTGGGGCCACAGCAGTAAAATGGGGGTGCTTCTAGACTCCAGCTTCTCCCACTGCGTGGTTTCCTGTGGACCCATGGGGAGCTATGGCATGTGTATGTCAGGGTCACATCCACACGGGGTGGATGCTGTGAGCCAGCCAGGAAGCATGTCCGTCTCAACATCTGGTTTGTCCTGCTGGTCCCTGGCAGTCAGGTGCTAAGCCGCTATCACCACCCCCACCCCCCACCACCCCCACACGTGAACTTTCTCAGATTCAGGCCAGTGAGTTGGGGCACTTCACTCCCCGCACTGAAGCCTCTGCCCGAGTGGCCCTGGGCAAGTCGCCCCCTCTGGCCGTTTTCTTGTCTGAAAGGAGACCCTTGTCGCTCCCATCTCAGATGCCTGTGGGGGTCCTTTAGCCAGCTGGTGGTGCAGTGAGTGAGGATCTGGTTCAAACTGCAAACCCGCCGGCCACCATGTGGCAGTCTGTCCCGGAACCCTGTGGGGCAGTTCAGCTCAGGGCCGGAAGAGAGCCATGCGTGGGCATCAACTTGATGGCAGTGGGCTTGGCTTGGGTGCCTCCTGACCTAAGAGCCCACTGTAGTGGTTAAGCACCCAACTGTTGACCAAAAGGTGGGTGCTTTGAACTCACCAGCTGCCCCACGAGGGAAAGGTGTGGCTGTCTGCTTCCATAAAGATTACAGCCCAAGAGGGACAGCGATGAATCTGCTTTCAGTTTGGCAACTCCTGCACGTCGTGTAATTCCGTGTGTGGCCACGAGGCGGCAGGCCACGCCAGGCCCACGTTTGTGTGGAGGCCCAGTGTGACCCAGGGGCAGCAACATAGGCCTGGGACCTGCCCTCGGTGGTGCCCATCCCCCCACCCCAGGCCCCATTCCATATACCTGTGTGGCCCTTCTCAGAGATGGCACCTGCTTGGCCCAAGCTTGAGCCTGGTTTGCGTGGCAGGAACCACTAGCCCTATTTTCAGATGCGGAAGTATACTTGGAGGGTGTGATCCAGTGAGAACCCTTCCTGGTGCCTCCCCTCCCCCCAAGCTGGTCCCTGGAGACCCTGGTGACTCAGACCCGGGCGGTCTTCTCCCAGGGGACACAGGTGACTCAGCCTGTGCCCCCTGTCAGAATGCAGTGAGGCAGACCACCGTCTCTGCTGGCTGTGGAGGACAGGCGGTGCATGGCCCTGAAGTGTGCCAGGGAGGCTGGAGGGGTCCTGGCCGGGGAGGGAGCCCAGAGACAAAGGTCCCCGAAGTTGAAGCGACAAAGTCCTTGTTGCGTCCCCACGGTGGGCCCAGCGTGAGTCTCAGGTGGGGGTGGGGGGTGCAGCCTGGGACAAACCAGTCAAACTCCCCTGTGAGCAAGCGCGGGGGTAGTACAAGGTAAGGAATTAGGCAGGTAGCGTGCCAGGTGGTGGTCAGCGGGATGGAGGCCTGAAGGCACGGGGAGAGCGAGCCAGCTGCAGGGGTGCCCGTAGAGGAGACGCAGGGTTCTGGACGGACGACAAAATAGGGCTGCCTGTGGGCAGTGGTTCTCAACCTTCCTAAGGCCGCGCCCCCTTCATACAGTTCCTCGTGGTGGTGACCCCGCCCCCCCAACCATAACATTGTTTTCACTGTCATTTTGCTACTGTGAAGAATCGGATAGCCCCTGTGAAAGGATCGTTTGACCCCCCAAAGGGGTCGCAGCCCACAGGTTGAGAACTGATGCTGTGGGTCTCTGAGGCCCGCAGTCTGTGTGGGAGCAAGCATGCATCTTTCTCCTGCAGAGAAGGGCCACCCGCCGTTTGGTTAACAGTGATCGCTTTAACCGCCGCACCACCAGAGCGACTCGAGGGGTACCATGGGCTGAGTCTCGAGGGTCTCGTGGTGGAGAGAAGCCCCCGAGGGTCAGGCCAACAAGGATCCAGACCAAAGGGAGGGCTGGCAGGACCGGGGAGACGGGTCAGAGCCAGCTCAGGAGGGCCTGGACGGGCTGGAGAAGGGTGGTGGTCTCAGGTCCCATGTGTTTGGGGCTGGGCGGGGGTGTAGCTAACGGGATGTGCTGGGGGCCCGGGCAGCACTGAGGGTTTCAGCCTGAGCCTTTGACTGAGGTGGGGAGCAGGTCTGGGGGTCTCCCAGGGGCTCCTGTGTGGACAGGCTAAGATGAGGTGTCTCACAGATGCCCCCGAGGGGAAATGAAGGCAGCTGGGGTGCCCTGGAGACGTGATGGGGTCCTCAGCTCTGTAGACGAGGCCGGGAGGGAGTGTGGCCGTGCGACCCGAGGCCAGAACCCGGGTACCCCGGCATGTAGGTGTTGGATGAAGAGGGTGGCAAGTGTGAAGTGTGAGGAGGACTGGGTGACGGTGACAGTGCCCAGGAGGTTGTCATGACTGATTTCCCAGGCGCTGGTCCCGGCCCTTTCTGCCAAGGCAGCACTGTGACCCAGCCTCACACGTCATAGTTGAGTGTGTTCACCCAGGGGCCCTGGAAGCCAGTGGGAAAGTCTTCCCAGAAGGGCGCAGGGAGGGAGCAGATGTTGCGAGGACAGTGCTGGGTCTGTGGGTCTTGGGTGGTGGGTGAGAGGAGGAGGCACCCAGGACGCCCTGCTTTCTCATTTGGGTGACGGATGGGTGCTGTCGTACCCCTTCCAGCTGGAGAAGGAACCAGGAGAGCCACCTGGCCATTGTCATTCGTTCTTCCAAGGAGTGTTTCGTGCCATCTCTCTCCACCTGGCACTGTGCGATGCCAGACTCCAGAACTGTCTTGGCGCCCCACCCAGCCCATGGCACCTGCTTCGCCCCATGAGGGCCCCTCTGTTCTCCCCTCTTTCCCAGCCTTTGGAGCCCGTGCAGCTGGGCCTGCTGGAGACTAGTGGCCACTGCCCCTGCTGTCCACCTGAGACCACCTCACCAGCCGTGTCTGCTTTCCAGCAGATGGCCTGGTCCCAGGGGCCCTGTGGCGGAGGTCATTAGAAGGACTTGGTGAACTTCCTGATTGTGGTAGGGGTGGGCAGCAGAACCCCTGGTGGCAAGGGCAGCCCCTCTGGAGCCAGAGAGCAGACCAGCCCCCCGACTCACCATGTCCGATGTTCTCCCCTGCAGACGAAAGACTTCCAGTTCAGCGTGGCACAGCGCCTGGTGCGGATGCTGCAGGTCTGCGCCGGCCACATTCCTGGCGTCTCGTCCCTGAATCTGCTGTCGCTGATGAAGACCTCCGAGATCCCCTCCCTGGAGGACCTGTGAGGGACCCGCTCCACGGCCGTGTCCAGGCACACACCCCCACACATAGTCCCCCTCACTCCAGCAGAGCTGCTTCCTGCTCCTGACATGCTACACTTGTCCACTGAAGATTGCATTCGAACCAGGGGTCCACTGCCGTCTGCCACCATTCGCTTGTACAGGCGAGGAAACGCTCAGACCTTTGGGGTGAGTGAGCTTGGACTCCATCAATCCCGTCTCACCGCGAGGCTCTCAGCGGCTCATGTGAATGCCGTGCTATTTCCGTATTTGAAAATAAACGTCCATGCCCTCACAGGGCCAGGTGGCCCAGGTAGTAAGTGTCTGTGAAACGACACAGACCTCAGTCCCTCTCTCTCTGGGCCGGGGTCCTGGCATTTGGGGCATTGGTGCCACACCGTCAGCCTGGAACACCTAGTCACAGGAGCAGAGCAGCTGAGGGCTGGCACCTGCAGCGACAGGTGTGCAGAAGCGTCTTGGAAGGGGCTGAAATCCTGGTAGCCTGGTCGGGGCCCCCAGCTGCTCTATGGTGGCAGGCTTGGGGAGGGGCCTGGTGGCTCCTTCGTGCTCCTTCCACAAGACAGGCCCCACTGGGAGCCCTGCTGGGCCAGCATACGAAGGCCTTGCCTTTGACTCCGGGATCAGTGCGGCATCAGAGAGGGCTCTGTGGGGGGCAGGCCTTCCTGTCGCCTCTATCCTGGGAATCCCTCCAGGGGCTCACCCTTCACCCCTCGCTCAAAGTTCAGCAGGCTCTGTAGACCTGGCTGTCTGAGGCCGACCTGGAGCCCCACCTCACTGACATTGGGCCTGTCAGCAGCCCAGGAAGGCCAGCTGATGTTCCCCATTTGACAGTGGATGAAGCAGACTGGTAAGAGGTATACCCACATAGCTGGTCACCAGCCGAATCCAGCCTCTGGGCCTCCTGCTGAGTATCCTTGTTGCTGAACAGAGGCCTGGACATCCTGCTGGGGTGTCAGAAGATGCAGAAATGGGACAGGCCTTGCCCGAGAAGGATTTGGAAGGGTGTCATAAAGCTCACTCCCCACCCTGGGCCAGGCCTCACGTCAGTTGCCCTGCCCCCATAGCACAGAGAGCACAGCAGACCGCTGAGGCAGCCCTCCAGAGGTTAGGATAGGGGCCCAGGTTCAAGGTCATCGGGGGACTGGCCTGTGCCCCAGGAGATGCAAGGGGGGGCTTGAGCAGTGAATGCTCCCTCAGTGTCTGCAGAGGGGGGAGGAAAGGGCAGGAGGGATCACCCTGAGGGGACGACGGTGGTGGTGGTGGTGGTGGTGGCGGCGGCGGTGTCCGCAACACTCTCGGCCAGCAGTTCCTGGGAGCTAGCACTGGTGGACGCAGCCACAGGCCCTGAATGGTAGCTGCTGTGGCCCCAGCCCCTCAGTAGCCTGGGCCAGTGGGGAACAGCAGTGGAGGGTGACATCCACAGAGAGGGAAGGCTGTGTGCACACAGGGACCCTGTTCTTGCTGGAGTTGAGGGGGAGGCCCTCCCCCCAGCCAGCATGGAACACACCTTTCTTTTTCAGGCCCCTTTGCCACCTGCGCCATTGAAGAGAAGTGGCATTGATTCCCCAGCCAAGGTTCTGGGAGCCTTCCAAGTGCTGTGGGAACAAGATGCTGTCACTGCCGCAGCTCCAGCTGAGCTTGGCAGTGCCCCTCGCACCAGAAGCCCCTGCTCTGAGGGTGGAACTGGCCAGGCCTGGCCTGGGGCAGAGCTAGGTGCCACTGAGAAGGTGTCAGGGAGCCCCTCGGGCCGGCTGGAGGCCAGCAAGACCACCCACTCCAGGCAATCTGAGGGAGCAGCCATCTTTACCCCGTGACCGTGTGCCCACAAGTGGTGCTGAGGTGCTAAGAGCAGCCGGCTCAGCCGCTTAGTGGCCTATTTCCTCATCTCAATGGGGTCCGGCCAACTAATGCCTTCCTCCCTACCATGTTGTGAGGATTGAAAATGAGGAACACCCTCCCTTTATTGTAAATATAAAGTTTGAAGCAAATGAAGGAGCCTTGGTTATTTAGTGGGTTATAAGTTGGGTTGCTAACCACAGGGTCAGTAGTTCAAAACCACCAGCAGCTCCTCATAAGGAAGATGAAACTCTACTCCCGCTAAGACTTACAGCCTGGAAAACCCACAGGGGCAGTGTGACCCTGCCCTACAGGGTCTCTGAGTCCAATCGACTGGATGGCCATGAATTTGATTTAGGGTTTAAGCAAACAAGACTTCTCAAAACCTATATAAGATAGGTGGGATAAACAATCTGGACGAGAAAACAATGGGACGTGGGAGAGGGGAAGGCAGGGGAATGGAAGTAGGTGTTAACAAACCCAGGGAAAGGGGAACAACAAGTGATCCAAAATCAATGGCAAGGAGGGTGTAGGAGGTCTGGTAGGGCTTGATCAAGGGCAATGTAACAGGAATTATGAAACCCAAATGAAGGCTGAGCATGATAGTGGGACAAGAGGAAAGTAAAAGGAAATAGAGAAAGTAACTAGGAGGCAAAGGGCATTTATAGAGGTCTAAATACAGGCATGTACATATGCAAATATATATGATGGGGAAATCGATTTGTGTGCATATATTTATA